ATGATGAGTTGCAACTTGATGGATCAACATGTCTTGATCTCAGCTAACTACTGCAGGTCATATTCTCTTATTTTTGCAGTACATCTCAGTTAGCCAATATTTATTTATTAAGTAACATTTATAGTTATTCTGAAACCTAAAAAACAACTTAGTGTGTTTTATTAAACAAAAATAGGCTTCCGATGAGCAGAGGCATCCGGCGCTGTCGAGACAAAATGAGAACTATTTTTGAGTCAAAATTGGCTTGTGTTGAAGGGTGGAAATGCTCAGTAAAGGGGAGCATCGCTTTTTCTGATAGTATTAAAATCATTTATTTTTGAGGAGAAACACCATAATAGTGCATCTTGGAGGAAAGATGTGCAGAGTCAAATCAGAAAGAGGCCCTCAGTTCGATTACTGAATTCAGAATTAAGCTAGAAACGAAAATTTGCTAAAATATGAATTAGGGTGGGGGTTCGACTTCGTCGGTGAACAACCAATCCCTCTACGATTCGTTCATTCGTTTCGTTGGTAAATTGGTACTGGCATATGTCAGGAAATCATACTCGCCTTCAACTCGATTACAGGTATTTCTCGAAAGAGGAATCCGTTCAACAGCCTTGCTGCTCGGGCATTTGCTACCACTCGGGCTACTTCGCCAATGCATCCATCTCTCGCTGAGAGCGAATTCGGAGGGGATTTTGACTTTTGGTGCTAAATCGCACCGAAAGAAAAAATGAAAATTACGCAAAGATACAGTGTGTGAAAATAATGAGGGCAGAACTAAGGGGCGCCTTGCGTTTGTTTGATAACTTTTCTGTGAGGAAGATAATACTGGCTTATTAGAAGTGAGAGAGAAGAATTTAGAACAGAAAAAGAATTCATTTACAGTTATTTTGCTGAATTTCAGGCAAAACCCGTTAAAGATTTGGATAGCCCGTGGCGTAACGTGGACGGACAGTTGTATGAGGATTTTCCTGGCGAAGATACCATTGATAAGCTTTTTACACATGCTGTGAAGTTGTTTGCTGATAGACCTGCCCTGGGTACACGTGAATTACTGGAGGTGCATGAGGAAAAGCAACCAAATGGACGAATCTTTGAGAAGGTTGAAATTTTTGATTTAAACTTTTGATTCGTGCTGAACTGCCCGGCCAATAGGTGTGAGGGGCCATGTACGACGTAATATTATTGATATGTCTTGGTTGTTTTGACAGTTTGCTGCCGTTCATGCCATTTCCCAAATCACTGCAGTGGATTATGGATGAAGAGTTGAATAATGGACAGCACACTGGCATTCCGGACTAATGTGCCCTTTGGGGTTTTGATAGAATGAGTTATAATGTGCCCATTAATGTATTTTGGAAGTTCTGTCAAAGCAGAACTTTGTTATCTACTCTGACAGGATTTCCAGAATTTGATTTTTTCATAAATACTGCCTTCTTTTATACAATTAGCGCCGGAGTAATACGTTCGTGATGATATCCCTCAAAACGAATCTCTGCAGTTCCTCGCGAAATTCAAATATACACGTCTAAACTGAAATAGTTTCAGTGGGTTCTGGGCGATTACAGCTGGCTAACTTACACCGAGGTACATCA